ACCCCAGCTACCAAGCAACCAAAACTAGTTTTGCTGTCGTGAAATGTGACCATACAGAAAAACTGCTCTCCTTCCCCTGGAAAAAATGGATTTCTCAAAAAATTACTACGCATTGGACTTGGGGTTCCAGCCTGAGACTGCTCTCAGAGCAAATGCATTTCTTAAAATCCCCAAAACACAATGCAAAAGCCTTATGCTCGGGTAGCTGAACTAACTCCAATGCCTTAGGATTCCTGCAAGGCCAATTAACCACACTGGAGCAAAGCCTCCTGAGCTGACTGCGCCAGTAACCCCACTGCTATCAGAAGCAACGCATACATGGAGTGCGCACGCCAGTAACCCCACTGCTATCAGAAGCAATGCATACATGGCCCTCATATTTGCCTGATGAGTGCATACACACACACACTCTCTCTTCAGCTTCTGTTCACATGGCTTTGGGATCCCACCTGGTAACACAGCACGAAGTGCGAGACACCACTGAAGCTTTAATTTTCCTCAGGGTAACCCTCAGAGACACCAACCTGTCCTGCATCGGAGGTGGCAACGAAGTCTTGGTGCAGCAACCTGAAAGCAGCTTCACCAAATGCACATTGCTCTCTCTCTCTGTAACCCTCCCTCAGAGAGGGAGGAGTTCTCACAGGGGAAGAAGGGCTTTAAAGGGAGCAAAAGGGCCGGTACCCACGTAGGCCTAAACCCTGAGCGAGGCACCAACGTGGTGGACAAGGCCCAGGATTGTGGATAAAGGTGGGCAGCGAGGAAAGAGCAGCTATTCCCATCTCGTGGTGGAGATGGACCTACCACCACCCCCATGAAGGGGCCGGGAGCTTGATAAGGGCTAGCCCGGGGCTGGCCGCCAGCCCTCGCCATCACCTCAGACCAGCGCGGCTCCCCGCTCCGCTCCGCAGTCTACGCGCCTCGCTACGCCACTCGCGTAGGGAAGCGTAGAGAAGAAGGACAGCCCAGAGCAGCCCGCCAGCCGTACGCAGCTTACGTAGTGGCGGGGGGGGGGGACCGGCCCGCCAGCCGTACGCAGCTTACGTAGTGGCGGCGGGAAGGGCGGGCAGGGCAGGAAGGGGCGGGCGGGAGGAGGCGGAAGGGAGCGCGGCGGCTCCTATTTGAGGCCGGGCCGGCAGCAGGTCGGGTCCGGGCCGGGAGAGGTGGGGAGAGAGCCTGGGTACGGCTGGGGTGCAGCTCCGCGGGCTGAGGGGGCGAGCGGGCGGGACCCTCTCCTCAGGTCGCTCCCTGAGGGGAGGGCTGTGGTGGCGTCCGTCCTGCTGCCGGGGGCTGGTTTCCTCTCTTCAGTGGTTGTCAAAAGTGCTACTTCCCGTAAAAAAAAAAAAAAAAGCCTGTATTCTAGCAGCAGAGGTTTCAAACACAAAGGACTTGCGATAAAAGTGAATATCGGCAGCTGTGGAGACCCTGGTCCTCACAGCTTTCCCGGGTGAGGTGTTTCCTTCACGTTTTTCCCGCTAGTGATTTCTCTCTGCCGGTCGCGTCCCTCTCCGCAGCTTTGCCCACCTTCTGTTTACTGACATCCCTTCCCAGTCACTGCTGCTACAAGCGTCTGGATTAACCGGATCAAACGTGCTCAGTTTTGCAGCTACTTAAGCTTTTAGCTTTTCCGTGTCCCCGTCCCCTCGGTCCCTGATCTCTGTTTTACATTTAGCATGCATCTCTGTGGCGGCCGTCTGTATCGCATTTGCATGTTTTTGCGGCAAGACACGATTTTATCCGGGACTGAATTAATTGCATTCCGTGTTCGTACTTCGTATCTATGGATTAAAAGTGAAGGCCGTGGTGCTCCCAGCATGTAAGCATGCGTGTGGCTCTGGAGCCCCGTGCAAGTCCCCAAGAAAACTCATCTGCCCAAATGTTTCCACAGTCGCGGTGTCCAATGCTTAACCGCAGTTTGGCCGTGCCATCCTCCTGTGCACCTTGGTAAGGGACTTTTTGGCCAGCCCCACCTGAATAATTATCTACAGCTACTTCTCTGAAGTTGATGAGCTGCCTCATTAACTTTTGAGGGTCTTGGAGATTAACGTGTCAGCGGTTTGGTCACTTTTGTCACAGTTTAGGACGAACGCGATGCCAGCATCTTTGTGTTTCTTCTTCCAGCAGTAGGAGCACGTGTGTATGGTACAGCTTTAGATCCACAAAAGGAGTATCTTTCCGCTTTCCAAATAGGATTTTGGGAACCGCTGTATAAAATACACCACCTCTCAAGAAAACAAAGGGCTTTGTGTGAAAAGTGAGTGCTGGAAGTGATAAAAAATTTCTCTTTAAGTGACAGTTCAGATTATGGCAATGCTATTGATTGCTAAATCACATTGTTCGAGCAAGAGACGTGAATTCCAGCGCCACAAGCTGTAAATAACTTTCGGGATATATTTCTAGCTCTCAATTCCCTCATCTTGGATTTAGTGGCGAAACTCTTGGCCCAAGTTTTCTTTACTAAATCACATGTTGCCATTTTTTTATGCTGCGTGTCTGAAAATCCAAGCCCACTTTTTCCTAGATATTTATGAAGAAATAGATACCTATGTTGAGGGACGCCCATCGAGCATACTGATCAGAGCATCTTCAGAGCAAAGAAAAATATTTCAAAAACTTTCTCAGGGTATTGTAGATGCTCAGCATCGTTAATTATTTGTTGCATAACGGCAATAAAGTTGTATGCAAGAAGCCACTATGGTGTCGCTCCGTAATTGGTCACATCTTCTATGTTATTGGGAAACGAGGTTGTACAGTTGTACTGTTTCTGGATCCTTTTTAGCTGCTTCACTTTTCATATGAGCCTGTGTTAACAAATCAATAAATCTGTCACAGCAGGGAAGGGGATTTTAGTTTCAGTGCTGTCTCCCATAATAAGCTAATAAATCTGTGTCCAGAGGTGAGTATACATGCCAAGTAATTGTTTGTAAAGTTATTGAAACTTTAAGCGTTAGATTATTTCTGGGCAAATTGGTCCATAAGTCTGGGTCTTTTAGGAAGATCAGAGCCTAGTGAGTGATGTGAAATGGGTTTTGGGGTCCAAATGAGGGCTTTGGAGCTCCTGAGGTAATAAAACAATCTTGGGATTTTGTACGGAAAGCGTGGCGGCACGTCTTGCGCCACCTTCACAGCTGCAATTCCGCAAGCGTAAATGCTGCTGCGTGTTGAGGTTGGTGCCGGCGCGGGGGTCTTTTAGGAAGATCAGAGCCTAGTGAGTGATGTGAAATGGGTTTTGGGGTCCAAATGAGGGCTTTGGAGCTCCTGAGGTAATAAAACAATCTTGGGATTTTGTACGGAAAGCGTGGCGGCACGTCTTGCGCCACCTTCACAGCTGCAATTCCGCAAGCGTAAATGCTGCTGCGTGTTGAGGTTGGTGCCGGCGCGGGCCTGGCCGGGATCCGGGATTGATCCCAGGTGCCCGCTCTCCCGCGGAATCTGGAATCTG